ATTACATTTTTGTAGTAACTACGAAAATATAACGGCTATATAGTTTATAAAATGCAAAAATTTATTTGTAAGTTGTAAAATTGGCATTTTAAAAATAAAGAGAGTAATAACTTAACAGAAAATAGTATTGCTTAATATTATATTTAATTGTGGTTGTTTTATTGTTAATAATATTACAAATTTCAGTATAAGTTTTATATAAGTATGCGTTAAATTAGAAAGTGCGGTATGAATATAATGTATATATTAATTTCGAGATTGTACAAAACTTAAGTGATTTATCAACACTCAATATTTATATGCATTTCCACATTTGTTGTCATTAATTATAAGACAATTACTTATTAAATTGAGTGTCTTGTATACGTTTGACATTTTGTGAAGTAGAACATTTTGTCATATGTACATATATATTTATACGCCATAAACTGATAAAGTGTGTAGTATTGATATTTGAATTAATTTATAAAGCTTCTTTCTCAAATTTTTCACCTGCTACTTTTTTTTGCAAATTTACTGACGTCATTACCAAACATTATTGATTAGTAATAACTTTTATTTTTGGTAAAATTAATAAATTTCTAGAATTTTCATTTGTTAAGGCCTTCAAACAATCACAACAATGCATTCTTTTTTTGTGTGTGTGTTCTATTTTAACTACATAACCAACCATGCAACGGTTGCTTCATTGCAAAAAGAAAGGTGTGTTTCAAACTTGGTACACCTTTGTTATCATGGTCATCCAGTTTAGACTGGTATATTGCAAGATCATACACTTCTAATGTGTCTGCAGAACCACTAGGAAGTACCATGCAGGATTTATTCTTCATCCTGCATAGTGCAATGTCCTGCTTTATTATTTCATGATGCATGAGCAGTCATTTATATGTTGTTTTGAACTGTTGAACAGTTGGATTTTTATTACAACTCCAAGTTACAACTGACAACTTCAAGATAGCCTGACAGTAGAAAAAATATGTTCCAAGTAAACCTGGTTTAATCTATATGTTAAAAGATACTTCAATGATAGTGTGGACACTGATGTTAAAGTTTTATATAATTGCTACACAGATTTGGTTGCAGTTAGAAATCCAGTAAGTGATTTTTAACCCGAGTTGCATACATTCTTTACCTGGTGAAGTCGGGTAACTAAAAATAAACTTTTCTGTTTCTACTAGAAAAACGTTTCCAAAATGATTCATTAAACTCTTGTAATTCTTAGACAATGGATTTCTGGAGTTCAAAAAGCAAAGGGTCTATCAAATATTCTTATAAACCTAACTGTGATCTCGGTTCATTTAAACTTAAGTTAGTTGAATTTCAACCTTCAAGTGTACTGAACGATTTTGTGGCATCTGTCATACTTTAACTTAAAGCTTGTATGCAGAGTTAACTTTAATTTATCTGCTTTCAGCTGTGCATTGATCTTGATTTATTCTCTAGTTGTAAGAAGTTCATACAGTTTGTGCCAATTGGTAAAACTGACGTTTAATGTATTCAACGTATACACAGTTTAAAATTTTTCTCACGTACAAAAGTGTTTCGATTGACCTTTAGCATATGGAATATATCAAGTGCGACATAATTTGTGCATTTTTTTCATTGCTAGGATGAAAAAAACACAGCTCTAACTTTGCTGATGACATATTGGCACCAACTGCTAACATGGATCATTATTAACCAATGCCACAGATGTAAATGATACCACATTTGGTCATGCCATTGATAAAGAAACAAATCACCAAGTGCTTTTCAGTTGCTGTGTAGAGAAACAATCACACTTCTTGTGTAATGTCCCATAATGCCTTGATACTACTTTCGTTTAATAGACGAATATGTTGGAGAAAGATTAAAATTATTTGCCTTACAAAATTATTGGTCTCGGTGGAGTAAAACTGTCATGGCAAAAGTTGGAAATATACTTTGCCATTCAATTTATTTTTCATTTTAATAAGCAGTGTCCTTTTAAAGATTTCCAAACAAGTATCAGAAAAAGTGCTATTGGTGGATATTAAATTTTCTTTTCTCTGAGCTTGCATAGTAACCTTTAGTGTATAACAGTGCATTTCATATGCCTGCTATTTTGTCTTGAAAACTTTGATTTTTTTTTCCAGGTGTGTTCAGATGATCAACTGTTTTGTCAGTTTTTCTTCTAGAGGTTGTAGTTCTGTCGTGTACAACATGATAGCCATGACCTAGAATTATTCGATCTTTAGCATTGCTCTGGACAGATGTTGTACTTGTGATAAGTGGATCTGAAGCAACATTGTCAAGTGTACTTGAATTGATTTACTTTCATACTGGTGTCCTTTTTTTTGGCAAACTGCAAATGAATCGTGATATATAACTTGAATCAATAATTTACTAAAGCCGTTTATATTTTTTTACTATTTTTTTTAAATGAATACTTCATTACATATACAACCTTATTTATCGCTGACTGTTGTAATTATTATCATATTTATTCATTATTAACTTCTAAAGAAATACTGTACTACCACTCAAACATTTTTGACTGCATAGACAGACTTAGCAACAAGCACCATTATATTGGCTTAAGTACAGAAATGAATCTTTATAAAAATAACAGTGGTATTGTAACTTCTCATTAAATTTCAAATATATTCTCACTGATTTCACAGAGATGTTCTTTTAGGATACATATTAGAATACTATAAGTAGTTAATTTAAAATATGCTAAAAATTTCCTATTGATAAGTATATTGCCAGGTTTAGGCATGATTTCATTTACTTATTTAGCTTTGTTACAGCAAAAATTATCCAGAAAAAAGACTTCAGCAATTGATAAACGTTATATAATAATGAATTCAAACAAAATTAGGCAGCTTAATATCAACCCGACATTTTCTAAGAATAAACACATCCCAAGTTTCGACAGTTTAAAGAAATGTTTGAATAATTAGAACAGCATACTTTGAAATCGTGATGATGGTATACCTTTTCTAGGTCCTCAGGAAATGAAAATGCAATGGGCAAAGCATTGTCTCTGAGTGAAACATTTTGACCTTGTTTTCAAAATGTTTAAAGCACAACCTAAAGGCTTTTGGATACCAGTTCACTCTCCAAATGTTATTATTAACAATCCATTTTAAACGAGTTGTCTCCACAGAAAACTTCATGGAATTTGAAAATGCTAAAATCGACTTGAGTTGACTACTAGAACTACCACATCATAATAAAACTAAGGGAAAACTCGAAACTTGTATGTTATCAAAAGTCAAAGTTTGTCTCAGATGAGCAGTGGGTGTTACTATAGTGTTTGGTGTACAAAGGTATTTACACTATAGCATCCAATCTACACAGATACTATCATCATCACCATTTTAATGAGTCACTAAAACATAATTTATTGCTAACTGATTTATATCTATCCATGTTCTTGTTCAGTAAATAATAATAATTAATAAGTTGTGTGTTCCAAAAAAAGTACCTTAAGTTTAGGTTTTAATTGTGCTAGTTTCGATTGTTAGAATTTATTTCATTCTAATTATATTTGCCTTCAAAATGTTATGTAACGGTATCTTGTACTTTATTAGTTTAAAAACATTATTTATAATAAATGACACCAGTTTCAAATAAACAAAAGTTAAAATGGTGAAGATGATAGCATCTCTGTAGTCTGCACACTATAGTGTAAATATCTTTCTAGACTGCACGTTATAGTAGCACCGAGTAATGTTACTGCCATTGGGCCTTAAGTTACTTAGTACTATATCCAACAATGTTATACTAATATCTAGGCAGTGGCAAATCAATTTATGTTAATTTATTCATGGAGAAAAAACATGTGAACTTGTTATTGAAACAACACGGAACCAGCTCTTATTTTATTTTTACAATGCCATGCAACAAACACTGGCACTTTAGATACAGGCTGTAACTTAAACTTTACATTATGTCTTAGAAAGTGAAATATGAAAAGGGACTAATAAATCTATATAACTTCCATTTTCTTCATGTGAAAGGTTCGGTCCTCAAACCAGTTCAGTATAGAGATTCATGATACATACCAGCTATGCTGTAAGTTTAAGAAACTTATGATGTGTTAAGCTTTGAGACAACATTAAGTGCTAATATTGTAGAATATGTACGATTTGTTTACAAATTTACTTATGTCAATCTTGGACTTTTAAATTCAACTCATTTGGTTGTTTATAATAACAATGCCACAGATGAATCTAGATCACTGTATAATACATTGGTAGATATGATTTTTCAGCTTGTTTTTAAACTTGATTTAAAAGAGAGACATTTTTATAACATTTTCTTTATAGCTTATTGGTAGTTAATAACTTTTTTATAAAAACAGGTTAAATGCGGAGGCCTTTTTTTCCCATATTCTTCTTACTTGTTCGTTACGGCTCGAAATCAAATTTGTGTAGAAAATAGCACTTCAGAAAGAACTATCTTTGGTCTCTCATAAGTTATGAAATGCTATTTATCACACACCAGTGATTTTGAGCCACAACTGATGGATTAAGGAGATATGTAAAAAAACAACCACAACAAAAAAACTGCAGATAACCACTGTTTTTATAGCAATTCTGAGGCCTATTTGTTTTCAATGTTTTGCAATTTTTGACGTTTTAACCATAGCTTAGTAAATTTTGTTCAAGCCTACACTTTACAGTATGCTGAGAATTGACTGATTCACCAACGTGTTATATGTATATATATTCTAAGTGAGAACTTGGTAGCAACTCCACATCTAAGTTTTTTTACATTCAAATGCGTATCATATTAGCAATCGATGTCTTCGAAGGAAAACGAAGTTTGATTATAAACAAGATTACGACACTTATAATATACTACATTGTTTATTGACATATTATGTTGTCTTCATTTTGATTGACTTATAAATTCCTTATATAAATTGGTTTGGTAAACAAATTTGATATAATTGTTGCAGGTTCAAGTAATTTATATATGTAAGTGAATACAAGAGTATTATTTATATGTGAACTTAAAATATTTTTCAGGGATCTGCAGATTCAAATTATAGCCAACCATCGTCAGACCTGTCTCTGGACGAGGAAAGAGAGGCGCTTCGGCGGGAGACTGAGAGGCAGGCTCTTTTAAAGCTTGAGAAGGCTAAGGTATTTTTTATAACATTAAATAATAAATATAGTTTATGCTAGCATGAAAATCCCAAAGGTTTTTCTAGATTTAAACTAATAATTTAGCCAGTGAGTACTGTTGCTTGTATTTGCATTCGATTAAAACTTGTTTATCATTTAGTATTTCTTTCGAGTGTTTCTATTAATGAAAACTACCTTATAGTTTAATAAAATATAAAAATGGTTTCCATTTAAGTCAAGCACAAAATATTGTTCATTTGAGACATAGGAGAAATGTGCAATTTAGTGTGTCACAAATCATTGCACAGATAATTCAGGTGCTACTTAACACAAATCATTGCACAGATAATTCAGGTGCTACTTAACACAAATCATTGCACAGATAATTCAGGTGCTACTTAACACAAATCATTGCACAGATAATTCAGGTGCTACTTAACACAAATGATGAAGGAATTCGTACATTGTTAAATTAATTCAGTGCTAGGTATTTGCATAACCCATTATTCAGCCAAGGAAATAAGGACTTCTGATCATAATTAAAGTGTTAAATTAGGGCTTCGTGGTCAGTGTTGAATCCAGACCTTTCCACTGGATTGGGGGGTGATGAGAAGCTGTAGGAATGAATTAAAATTCAGGTTTGACAAAATGGGAATTAAAATACTTGACTTCACAAGTTTACAATGATATATTTTATTATTATTGGTTATCACATTTAAATAAATTTGCAAACAAGAAAAAGTAACCCAAAATATGTTCAGATGTTTCACTGTAGCTACCCTTAGAAAAAAATTAATGTGTCTGAGTTTTTTCTGTGCATATATGTTGATAGCCCTTGAGAACAAGGTGTCTGAAAGTACATTAGGCCTCTCGATGCTAATTTTCGTGGAGCTTTGAAGTGTGTTTTGTTCCATCAACTTTATTAGCGTATTACAGTTCATGCAGCTGAAAGAATTCTTAACTCCAGCTTTGTTTACGTATGTCAAACAGTTGCTCTGATATTCCATCTATTGTTTTAGAGAGTATAAGATGAGGAGAAATCAAATGTTCATATGTCATAGTGTGTGGGATTTCTTCTTTTGCTAAGAAGTAGAAGCTTCTCACAAACGTATCCATTTCTTCCCTGTTGCGACTACATTCCTGACTCGACTGTTGAACAAGTAAACTATGAACTGGTCTTTTAAGACCTTCTTCATGAAGCTTATGCATTGCTTGAGCATGTTTCTCATATTTAGAATGTTTGTCGAGTTTCCTGGTATTCCCAGTTGCTTTTTGAAAGTTGATGAACAGAGTTGTTATGGAAACACCACCTGTTCTATGTAGTGCATCTAAATCATTTTGTTTTTTTAATTCTTGGCAGTACTTACAAAACTTCCATCAAAAGAATGGTTTAAAAAGCAGCCATTCATATTTCTCTTCCAATTTCTTCTGGTATTTAACTGAAGAAGTTGCAGTAGCATGAGTTAACGAATCAACATCACTCGGCTGCTTAACTTCAGTTTGAGCCAGAGACTCAGCATCAGTACCACTACTCACTACCTGTAGTCTAGGTTTCTTTGTAACAAACTATAGAATTGATTTCTGTGACATACTTCACCACAGAAAAGTTCAAATCACAACGTTAAAAAATGCACAAAACAACCAGATAACATTACTATACAAATAGTTTCAACACAGGCTTATAAAGCAATGAACTGCTTTTCTAGAAACGTCCAGACGTCTATTAGTGTCTACACACCTTGAGAAATTTGAAAAATGTTCAGTAATAAGTCTATGTTTACCTTATACGATCTAACTCTTAATTCTGGATTCTATGATACAAGCCTCTCCTTCTCGTAATACACATTGGCTAGCTGTCAAGGCCAAACACGCCTTTCTTTGAGAAGTCACCAGAATTTTGCATTATTCTCTTTGTATGATCATTCTGTCCATGTGTTCGATGAAATTATAGTAAATCCTGACTCATGTGTCACGACTTTCATTAAGTTATTAACATCACTCTGTAAAAAAAGAAAAAGTAATGTCTGTAAAAAGGAAAAAAATAGTTAAAATATTTCAGGAGGGTTGCACAGGGGGAATCCCCCCCTGAATTCAATACTGTTCATGGCGTAAGTATTACAAGTGTTAGATTAGTCTTAGTGAGTGTTATATGACTTTAGCAACAATTTAGCTTATTGGTATATTGTAAACCAGGCTTAATATATATTCTTATTTTAAAAATAAAACTATTACTTTAGTGAAAATATAAGCTAGTTATAAAATACTGTAATATATTTAACCCATTCGCTGTGGCTTGGAAGTATATTTTCCAGTGCTCCCACCCCCTCACACTGCTACTGAGACAAATGTTTCCCATTGTCGATGCCTTCCTCTGTTGGGTCCAGATTCATTATCTTGGCTGTCATCACTAGATGGAGAGATAGCATCCCCTTGTCTCATTGCCTCTTCATCATCACACATTTAAACACAACTTGACTCACTGTCAAGCATATTTACCTAGTAATTAGGGTTACTACTCACTACTCTAGCATGGTCAGCATGCATCTGTCATACATTCCGCTTACGCATCTTGTTAGTTACTGAAGGGCTGAGTGGAAAACATTGAAGGAAACCATATATCAACATTAGTCGGGATGCCAATAAATACTTTCCAACTCATTTTACTCCCATTTGTCATGCGCAGCAATTTTAAATGACAGTGGGGAAACATTTGTCCCAGTCTCAGTGTGAGGGGGGGGTGGGGGCACTGGAAATTAAAAACCCTAGCTGCAGTGAAAGGATTAACACTGACATTAGGCTTAACAGTGTTGTCAGTAGGCTACTTGTATTTAATGTTCATTAGCTTACAATGGTTAAGAGTAGTGCAAGTGTTTGTGGTTTGGAAGGTGTGATAGGTGCAAGAAGTGGGTTTTATTTGGGAACTCAGGAAGCTAACAGTGAAGATGTATAAGTTGTATGTAGAGTTTCAGGATGGAAGAGAAATTTGAGGCTATACTAAGTAGAGTAGGGGCAGTAAATAAAGAGAAAGGTCAAGAAGAACTTAGCATTTGCGTGTGAAGGGTAAAGTGGCTAATAATGACTCTTAGGAAGTTAGAAACATTACTAATAGGTGCTAGAAATAGTAAATTTTATTGTAATGAGGAGGATAAGTAACAGATTTTAGTGATTATCTTGTTCAAATGGGGAACTAATAGAGGAAAGGAAAACAAAAGGGACAAATAGGGATGGGAATGAACAAATTTAAGGAGGTTATAGTTATAAGTGATTCTTTACTATGGTATGTGGATAGGAGAAATAATTATATTATGCCATCCAGGGGCGGAGGATATAAGTGACGGAATAAGTAAGAGGTGCAAACAGTGATACAATCTTTGTAATGCACATAGGCGATAATGATATAGGAAAGGGATATCAGAGGAGCTTATTCATACGAGGGATTGATAAAGGTATTTAAAGAAAAGGACCAAAACATATTAATTCTGTTAGGTCTATCATTAATACTAATTTTGTACATTACAATAATAATAGTTTGGTCTATCATTAAAACTAATTCTGTACATTACAATAATAACAGTTTAGCCTATCATTAAAACTAATTTTGTACTTTGTTCCTACACTATAATTTTCTCAACATTTTATTTTCTCTTCATTATTCTGGCCCTCACCATTGTCTAGTCCCAGTTTAAAGCTGCCCTTAAAGTTAAGTTCACACCCTCTTTTCAAGTAACCCAGCCCTTACGCTATTTAAATGTAAGCCATCCATTACAAAAAGCTTCCTTTTCTCGTTTAATTGATTTCACAAATCCAACCTGCTTGTCCTTATATATTAAGGTAAGCCTAGCATCCCCCTCCCACCAGTGACCTACTTATGATTTCATTCCCACAATTATGTCTCAGCTGCATTCCAATAACAGTTTAGCTTATCATTAAAACTAATTTTGTACATTACAATAATAACAGTTTAGCCTATCATTAAACTAATTTTGTACATTACAATAATAACAGTTTAGCTTATCATTAAAACTAATTTTGTACATTACAATAATAACAGTTTAGCCTATCATTAAAACTAATTTTGTACATTACAATAATAACAGTTTAGCCTATCATTAAAACTAATTTTGTACATTACAATAATAACCGTTTGACCTATCATTAATACTAATTTTGTACATTACAATAATAACAGTTTAGCCTATCATTAATACTAATTTTGTACATTACAATCATAACAGTTTATTGTAATGTACAAAATTAGTTTTAATAATAGGCCAAACTGTTATTATTGTAATGCTGGAATGGTAAGGAATAAAATAGATGATTTTTAGAGCATAGTCGAAACAGAGGATTTTCAACTAATGGGAGTAACTAGTTAAATGTGGACATTATCGATGATAGGAATTTCTTTGAAATGCAGAGTTATTGGTATTTAATATGGATTGAGTGCTATAAAGAGGGGAAGGAGTGGCTCTATGTGTAAAATTTCTGTTACATCCTGTTGAAGTTGAGGATATTAAAACTAGTAACAAAGAGTTTGAATCTGTTATTGGTTATAAGGGGGGGAGAAGGCTTTTAGTTGGAAGTTGTTACAGACCAGCAGATGTAACTGATGAAATTAATGAGAATGTCTACGGTGAGATAATGAATTTAACCATAAATTAGTTTATAATTATGGGAAATGTTAGAGTTAAACCATGAGGGAGACAGGTTTTTAGAAGTCTTTCAGGATGGATTTTGTCACCAACTGGTGACAAAACCAACTAGAAACAATGCTATTTTATTAGAGTTATTGATAACTACCAATATATAAATAACTGATAGGGTGAAGATGGGGAAACATTTGGGTGCAAGTGATCATTGCTCAATTATGTTTGATGTTTTGCTGCAGATGGAGATCAGGAATAACGAGATTTTGGTTACCAATAGAAAAAAAAATTAGAGATGAGAAAAGAAGTGGTAGGACAAATAGGATTTTAGGTTGTATCTACCAAAATATTTAAAGTAAGTCTAAAGAGGTTATAATGTCATTATATAGGTCATTGGTTAGGCCACATTTGGAGTACTGTGTTCAGTCTTGGACTCTTTACTCTAAGAAGGACAAGAAACTGTTTGAAATGGTTCAGAGGAGGGCTACTAGGATGATACTTGGAATGGAGAGGTTATCATATGAGGATATGCAAGATCTCTGAAACTGTTTTATTTTGAAAAAGAGTTATGTCGGATCTCGTTGAGGGGTTTAAGGTTGTTAAGAGAATAGAGAGTGTTAATGCATCGTACTTTTTTGTACATAATGGTAACTGAAACATAAATTCTGATAGGATAAGAGTCGTCTTCAGCTAAGACAGGGTGGTTGACATTTGGAATGGGTTGCCTTCAGATGTGGTGGATGCAATTAATTTTAGAAGGTTTAAGGGAAGGCTTGATAAATATTTGGATGATAGCGGGCTGGCTTTTTGAGTGTTGTATTTTCATTTTAAAGTTTAGTAGATGGGGTGTTCTTGATGGACTAACAGGTCCCTTGTTGTCCATAGATTATATGCTCAAAATATGTATCTGTGTTTGTGTTGCTGAATATTATGGATCGTAAAACTTTGATGGTTATAATTTATTGTACAATATTCAACTGGTTTCATATAAAATTTTAATTATTTGAAGAACCATTTTCGGAATGTTTATTAAGGTTGAATTATATAAGGAAATGAAAAATAGATTCCTACACTCGTAACAGAATGGTTTTATTAGAATGAGCTTTGACACGTTACATTGGTTACAGTAAAGTTGCACTGTCAGTATGAAATGTTAAAATAAGGAATTGTTTTTTTTTTTTAGAATTGTATAATATACTGAGTAATTTGTCTAAATCGTAAAGTATCCAAGAAAATTAATTGTTTCATGATATGAATGGTATAGAATCAGAATTGTAAATTCACAGTTGTTTGGCATCCTCTGAATAGTGCTAGCTGATATGAAGTTCAATGTTATTTTTGTTACATATGTTTGTGTGTGTGTATGTTGACAGGTTAAGTTGTATGTACAAAAACACACATTAGTGACACACTGGGAATAACAAGTTAAAGAAGGCAGACTAAATGGAGAAAAATACAGAAATTTAAAAGGTTTAATAATATTAGAACTGTAATGAAATGAATGCCCATTGTAATTACATTGTATAGGTCAATGGATAGGCCTCATTGGAGTATTGTGTTCAGTCTTGAGTTCCTTACCTTAGGAAAGACATTGAATTATTGAAAAGAGTACAGAGGGGAACTGATTGAGGTGTAAAAGATTGTTAAAAGAATCGATAGTGTTGATGTTTCATGTTTTTTCATACTTAAGTGGAGGAAAATGGTAGGACTAGAGGACACAAGTATAAATTTTGGCTGGGTAAGAGTCATCATCAGCTAAGACTGATTTATTCTTGTAACAGACTGGTTGGTCTTTGGAATGGATTACTTTCAAATCTGGTGTATATTGCAGAGTTTAGTGTATGGGACAACCTATACAGACCAACAGATCCCTTGTTGTCCTTAAATTTTGTCAGTAATTAAAAATATTTAGGACTTTCATTATAAAACATTAAAAAGGTGGACAGTGGTGTACATTGTTGACCAAAATATCATTTAATCATGCATATGTATCATTATCAGTGAAAACAAGTCAAGTCAAAATATGACAAGAATAAAACACTTCATTCAATTAGAACCTCAAGACACACAAAAATGTTAATTACTTATCATGTAATTCTTTATTTTGACTATTTACAAACACATGTAAGGTGAAATCTGGGTAGTATTGCCATGAAATGAATACTGTTGCCCTTTCTACTTGGCATATACAAAAATCTGTATTTAAAGATTTATTTTGGCTTACAAAATGTAATGTATGAATTCAAAGAGTATAACCTGATATTTACTGGTAGGGTTATAGATACTATTAATCCAAATAAATTGGTATCTTTTTCTGTTTTTACCCATTTTTATTCCTTTGATTTTTTTAATAATATTTATTTTGTTCTTTTCTGTTGTTTTTGATCACTTATTTTCACATTTGTTAGCTAATTTGGTTCTGTACTTTCATATACTCTTTAGATAATCTTACCCCTTTGATTATGTTAAAAATTTATGTACGTCTGTTATGGTTTTGGGATATATTTACCCAATGCAATTTCAAATACCCTTAAATTAACAAAATATTTTTTCTTTGCACAGCTTTTACTTTGTTGTATTAACTACTAGAAATTACTAGAACTGTAAGTTCTCATTATAATATACTTAAAAGATGTATTTAATTTGCATCATAATATTATGGAAACCAGTGTCAGTATAGTTTATAATTGCACAATAGATGGACTGTGTTGTATATTTTAGCCAATCTAAACCTAGTTGGGTTTTCTCCTATTTTGATCCTTCAGCTTATACCTGGCTTTTGGCTTGAGTTTGAGTAAATATTTTTCTGAAAAATTGTCCAAAAGATATGAGAATAATTTGAGATTTTGAAAGTTCAAGAAATTTTGGGTCATGGAAAAGGAGAAAAGGGGGCATGAATTGAGAAGGAAAAAACAAACAAACAGGAAATAGTAAAATAGGGAAAATGAAACTGCATATTGATTATTGGATTGTGTTATTGAAACTGTGGCACTGTTGTCAACCAGTTAGACGTAGTGAAGAATTTTAGGAGTCTTGATTAAAGGTACAGGAAGGAGTATCAAATATTGGGGAACTTTGGACCTGTATGAATAATCATCATACTTCTCTTTCCTAAGTTAAGAAAAAGTAAAGCTCTGAGAGCCTGACTAGAGGAAGCCACAGTGTTGGGCAACACAATTCAAAGTATTAAATCATTGGTTTAATAATGGACAGGTGAAGTAAAACCTGCTTACTGTGTATTGTGTTGCCCAAAACTGTGACTTCCTCTAGTCAGTTAAACCAATGAGTTAATACTTTGGATAATGGACAGGTAAAGTAAAACCTGCTTACTGTGTAAAACTCAATAGCTTAAAAGATCATTCACAAGGTAAGAATTTTAAGTCAGAGGTTCCCAACTGCCATCTTCTAGGGAGATCTCATCCGGTCCACAAAATGATTAAAAATGTACCTTAGATACAGCTACTGAAGTATATTGTTTTACAGTGTAAAATAAAAGAATGTTAAAAAGTTGACATGGTATAAAGAGGTCTAGAAATTTTATGGGATTGAAACTAGCCAGTGGAGCCCCCATTTGAAACAAAGTTGGGAATAATTTACATAAATGATATCAGACATTTTTCTCAATCCACAGACATGTAAAACTTCAATGTCTGTTATCCAGTTACTTGGACTTACAAAAGCTAGTGTTGATAACATTAAATTGAAATGTTTTTAACTAGTTAAAATGTTGATAGTTTTATCCATTGCAAACTAAATACTTTCAAAACTATAAGTTTATTTTATTTGGCTTTAATTGTGAAAAGTTTTGGTGCATTTTGTATACAGAAAAAATTCTAAGTTTATTCTAAGATTCATCTCTTTAACCATTGTTTTTTCAACTCATACTTTGCTTCATTTTACGGTTTAAAAAAGTATTTATTTATTTCTAAAGACAAAGCCTGTGGCATTTGCTGTTCGTACTAACGTTGCTTATGATGGAACATTGGATGACGATAGCCCTGTGCATGGATGTGCCATTTCCTTCGAAGTTAGAGATTTTCTCCATATCAAAGAGGTGTGTCTTATATTTTCAAGAGTGTTTACTATCAAATCATATTTTAACACTTTACAATATTCAGCAGTTTATTTTGTAACAATAATAAATATATATATAACTATGACTCTCTTCAGGTAGCCAAATGCCTCGTCATCTAGTTAGTGACGCGCATGAATGGATTAACGAGATTTCCACTGTCCCTATCTACTATCTAGTGCAACCACAGCCAAGGGAACGGGCTTGGAGAAATCAGCTGTAGGCTACTTATGACGATGTATATTTTAAGAGAACATAATGGAATCCTACATGTTAAAACTTTGTGTGAGCTTCCATTAATTGAAAAAAAAGGGTTTAACAGTTTTATATTTTCCATTAAGTTTCGTTAACTTTGAATCAGATAAGAACTAAAAATGAACCAGTAATGTATAACTAATTTAGTATGCTTTTCATACTTATGGAGATTAGAATACATTGTTTTGTCATTTGAGTACCCTTACTGTTAACAGTGTTTATGGCCATAACTTCAATAACATCTTACAAGGTTCAGCCAGCTAAAGATACTCAGGTTAGTCTTAAGTTCGTACACTAAACTAATGAAGGTTCTAAGGGTTTCAAGATACAGCATATCTGAACTTCCAGAAAAGTACATATGAAGGCTTAAAGATTTTGTAGATATCTAACAGCAAACCAAAATGTTGTTACAGATACAAAGCTCCTTCAGTGCCTTATACAAACCTATTTGTAAAACGTTGTCAGTTGCAATCGAAGAAAACTGACAAAGTTACATGTATATAAATATTTTTATATGTATACATTTATGTGAATTTCATGAAGAAAAATTAATTATCAAACTTGTATAATAAAACTTCGTGGTGGTGCCATGCAGTTGATAAAACTCACTATTTTGAGTGCTGGTGAGAGTCCACAAGTTGTATACATGTCATTCAGTTACAACTTTGAGACATTTACTATTTGGACAAAGACATGTTTCTTGCAGAAAAAAGGCTTAACTGACTCATTCGGATCTAATAAAACTAAAATTATATCTGTGAATAATAACAAGATGTTTTAATTTTTTTATTCTCCATTTTAACAGTGTTTTGAATCAGGTACACTTGTTTTTAAAGTTTAGTGTTGAATATGTATTAAAAACTTGTTATCTTGACTTTGTCAAGACTGTTATTTACATATTTTGATTAATAATGGTATCACACATACGAATATTTCAGCTGGTAATAATACGACAGAATTTCGGATAACATATAAGTATGTAAAGTGTATCTAGAAGGTAGGTTTGAAGTGTACAAAATATGTAACTTGCTGTCCAGAGAGAAAGGTTTAAAAAATTCATATTTGGTCATAAGTTTACTGATTATTACAAGTCTAATGTTTTCTTGATTACATAAGAACACAGTCACCTAAATTATGTTTTTAACCCAAGGTATGCATGGTACAGTAATTAGATATTTACTTATATTTAAACATACAAAGAGTAGTAAATTTAAGATATTATTATTGACAGCTATATGAATTTTTTTTTATATTATGCTGCTAGAAGAACTTTAGAAATAAGCCACATTTATGGTAAATAAACCTGTATTCCATCCTTTTATTTTAACAGAAATACAACAATGATTGGTGGATTGGAAGGCTTGTTAAAGAAGGATGTGAAGTTGGTTTCATTCCAAGCCCTGTCAAATTAGAAAACCTAAGGCTACAACAGTCTCAATCTCGCAGTAGTAAACTATATACCAGGTCTGTAGGTCACATTGCACATATGAATTATTTTTCATATTGTTTATGTCACTCAAGCAACTTCTTAAATTAAACAAAGAACCAAAAGTAAAACGTTTAAGACTAAACTAATACAAATTAAACATGATGCTGCCAAAGAACTAAAAATAAAACAGTTAAGACTCACTTAATACAAATTAAACATGATGCTGCCAAAGAACTAAAAATAAAACAGTTAAGACTCACTTAATACAAATTAAACA